GTTCTTGGCCCAATGATATTAATGATCTTTATCAAAGATCAGAGAGGAAATAATAAAATCTTTGCTGGTAAGGTTTGCAGATAACACAAATATTAGTAAGGTGGTAAATAATAATGACAGGTCAGTTATATAGAATGTTATGGATTGATGATAAACTGGGTTCATTCAAACAACATGCATTTAATATAGCCAAATTTACAGTCCAACATCTAGGAACAAAGAATGTGGGTCACACATACAGGATGGGGGACTGTATCAATAGGCTTGCTTATTGAGCAGGGCATCTCACTGGGAGCACATGACACCAGTGCTCTGGGATCTGCACTGGCAGCCCATTGGTCTCCGGCAGAGGTGATCCCGTGGGGGGCACGTGCCCTTCATATTCATTGCTTGGTTTGTACTGAGCATGCTCAGTAACGCTGCTGAAGCCAGCTGCCCTCACTCTGCCCCACCACTATCAGCAGGCACGGGTCATTTCTGGTCTCTGGATGGAGTTTAGGATGTTGGTTTGTGACCTATAAATTGCTAAATGACACGTAACTGGCCTTGCTGCTAGACTGCCTCTCTCCTCAGGCCATACTGCTCAGCCACGGTCAGGAGGGGCACTTGAGCTGGATCTTCCTAGTTATCAAAGAGAGGGGCAGATGGTAGGGAGCTTTCTGGGAGAGCTCTGAGACTCTGAAAATTGCTCACCCATTGTTGGGAAATGGCCGAGGGTATATTTTTTAGATGATGAAATGGATAGGTGGCTGGCTGGCTGTATTCCTGTGGAACTGATTTCATTTAATTGAATATACTATATAATTAATTATGTTAAGACACCTAGAGTCTTGGATAGGCATCTTGACTAAATCTAAATGAACAAAAAAAAAATCCTAGAAAGCAGTGACTCTTAAGAGGACTTAGGGGTCACAGTGAATAAGCAACTGGACATGAGCTCCCCATGTGATGATGTGGCTAAGAGAGCTAATGTGAACTTTGTAAGTAGAAACAGGAGAATATTGAGTAGAAGTATGGTGAAGTTATTACCTTTTTATATGGCATTGGTCTTTAAATCCTTATTTCATGTCTTTCTTAAAAATATGCTTTAGTTGAACCTGATCAACCTTATAGGCTTGATGTAGAAATTAATGGGTAAAATTCTGTGTGTTATGCAAATGGTCAGCTTAGAATAGATGATCATAATGGTCCTTTCTGGTCTTAACATCTATAAATCTTTGTAGAAAATGTCAGTTTCCATTAATTATATCAAGACTAAGCTTGGCTTTTAAGTTTCAAATGAGTGATGTCCAGTAAAAATACATGATGCTATTCATAAAGAAAAAAGAAAAAAAGAGGAAATAAAATTGACCTTATTGCCTAAGAAATACAAGAGTATTAGAAGTCGATAGGTTGACTTGTCTGCTCTTGTTCCTAATAGCTATCTGTCTAGCTGCCATTTGTGAGGTGGTGTACTGCCCTTCCAGGTTTCAGCCACAGAAATCATATGGACTTGAAGTATTCCATCCCAAACTTTTCTCAAGGAAAAAAATGCAAAACATTATAATTATATCTATGTGACGTGACGTGAAAGATTGTCTTCATTACAATGCCTTAAGCTCAACAGCCTGCTGAACTTCTCTTGGAAGAGCAATGGGAGGTCAGAGGCACAAACTTCAGAGCCTAGAGGAAGGTGTCTTGTCCAAATAGGTGGAGAGAGTATATCTTTATCTTTTTAAACACTTTCTTTCTTATTTTTCTTTCTACTCTTACTGACAGAAGGAAGCACTAAGCATTGGACCTAATATGTTTTAGTTGCATTTTGTTCTTTAAAAGATCTTTTAAATATAGAACCCCAGAAATAGGGAGACTTGGCTGTAAACCAGAACCCAGAGTTCCTGGTGTCTGTGGGTACATCTCCATGGGGATAAAAGCCACACGGTACCGCCATAGCTGGCCTGGGTCAGCTGAATTGGGCTTGTGGGGCTTGGGCTGCGGGGCTAAAAATTACTCTGTAGATGTTTGGGCTCAGGCTCACAGAGTTCCAGAGTTCGGGCTGCAGCCCAAACGTGAACATCCACATAGCACTTTTTCAGCCCTGGAGCCAAAGCCCAGTGAGCCCAAGTCACCTGACCTAGGCCAGCTGTGGGTTTTTTATCTCCGTGTAGACACACCTTGTTTGTACAGCTAACCCAGGCAGTGCTAAACCATCCACCATGGAACTTGCAGTATCATAGCAGTTTTTCTTGGGTACATCAGTGGTCCGCAACGTCTGCTAATAAGGATAGCGGTCTCAGAATCACTTTTTGGAGCCCACCAAATTTTGTCATGTTCTAACAGTATGTTGCAACATGTTGACATTTATGCTGTGATGTTCCAAGAGAAGAATTGGTCTCAGTGAGAATTGATCCTGAAGCAGAATTCCAAACACCAGAGCATTCTTTCTACTTTTTCTTTGTCAGTAGCCAAGCAGAGGAGTTGACAGTCTATCACAAACGTGAAACGGAAATAGTGTTTCTGTGAATCACAGTATTTTGCAGTACCAAATCCATATATATTTAACCCAGTTAAATTAACAGATTTCCTTCATTAATAAAGAAAGTTTAATACAACAGAATATCATCCTTTTTGTGGTGTTCATTTGTAGTTTGAGAGTGAATCCCCAGTTCCTGATCTGACAATCTTTACTACATTGAGTAGTCCTTACTAATGAGATTAGTTCTGTTGGAGTCAATAGGACTACATAAGAGAATAAGAATAAGGGCTTGCCATAGTGGATCTTGGATAGCAAAGCAACTATAATTCTTAGTCTTCCTAAGCAGGACATTCAATAGAAAAATTGCAGTGTCAGGACCCTAGCATTGAACCCAGGTCTCTCAGATAGTATCTTTAGCCATTGTGCCATGGCAATACATCAAACTGCTGCCCCAACCAACAGCCTTAGTGCTAAAGGCCTACAGGCCCACAGCAGCCAGGCACCCGATTGGATGGACAGGCAGTACTCTCATTGGGTGCCTGGGCTATATAAACCTCCCAACAGGAAGAGGAAGCTGTCTGAGTGACAGACCATTGCCTGCTGATTGCTGCTTAGACCACCTTGTCATGCTTCTCTGCCTGAGCCAACCTGGCTGCCTTGCTGTTTAAAAGAAAAATGCTGCCATGTTGCCTGACCTTGACTCCCCAACTCACTGACCCAGCCCCTTGGATTGGATCTTCTGGCTGCTGATCCCTGCGAGAATGATGACAATTGCCCCAGACTGCCTCCAATACAGATTGACCTGTTGGCTACCCAATTACTCACGCACCCTTGACTACGGCTCTGGACTGCCCCCTAGCCCGCCTTGGCCACTGGGCATTACAAGAAGTTTGCAAACTGCATCAGTTGGCAACAGTTCGGCTGCTGTCAATATAGTTTCCTTCCCTAAAAGTGTAATTTGTGATTAATATTTTATGCAAGCAGAACGTCTTTGACAAAAGTATCAAATTCATGATTGACATCTTAGTAAACTATGAACTGTTTTTGTTTTGTTTTGTTTTTAAAGCAAGTAAAATATCCTAGGTACTTTAGAATGATTTTGCAATATTTATGGAGAAAATTGATGTCCCCCCTCCCCTTATGTCATAATGTTGGTAATGTATAGAGTGGAATAGAATGGTTTTCTAGATTGATTTTCATACTCTGAAAGAACTTTATGAAGCAATAATTTTGTTAATGGCAATGCAATAGTAATGTAATACACCCAATATGGCAGCTATATATTATGCATTCATCAATAACTTAAAAAATCCTTGAAAACTGTAACCTATTTATTGGGACTGGAGAGAGGGAATATTGGCTAGAAGGACACACAGGTTATCCCTTTTCAAAAAATGTGAATACATCTAGTTGAAAATTATCCATCTAAGTGTTTATCAATGGAAATTTGGGGTTTGACTAAATTAAATACTTTGGCCAAAAAAACCCAAAATATTTTGATTTGGGTGTGCTGCTGCAGTGCCTCATGGGGCTTGTCCTCAGTTGTCTCATATTCTCTATGGGCCAGGTTTCCCAGACCGACACAATCTCCTATGATGCACATTGGCCATGTGACTCCCATGATGCACTGCTTCCCCTCACTAAGAGAGAAGACCATTGTTCATCCTGAGAGATGTAGTCCCAACAGGGAGCCCAGCCTATAGGGAAGATCAGGGGTGAGGGGGAGGCATGAGGCACCCAGACTTACAACTCTTATGAGGCAGCGCAACAACATATTGGAATAAAATTTCTTGCTAAAGCATTCAGATTTTTATTTATTTGTTTGTTTATTTAAACCAGCAAGTCTAAATTTTCCATGGGGGTAGGAGGGACATTTTTGACCTCCTCTGATTGTGAGGCTTTTAACTTTACTTGGACAGCAGAAGGGACTTCAGAATCCTTCAAAAGAGGATGATTTAACAGCACATTTCTACCTTGTCAGCTTTAAGATGAAAGCTCAAGTCTTGGGGTGGTACGTGACACTTTTATTAAGAGGCAAGAGTGCTAGCTGCTGAACCTTCCTGACACACCAGGCTTTATCTAGTTTTATTTTTTACGGAATCAATAGACCTCCGGAGTATGGGCTATTTAAGTTTAAAGCCTCTATTTCTGCGCTTTACCTGGGTTCTGACAACTTTAGTTCTTTTTTGAGATTAGTAAAGTAACAAACTACTGTGTGTTTCAGATGCCAAAATGAGTCCAGCTTCTCCTATCATGTTAGTTGTTAAATCCTGTCAAAAAGATTTCTTATCCGTTGATGCTGGAATTAATGGAGGTGCATTCAAAGGGAACATGTATTTTTATATTGACTCTTAATATGTTTTTGTTTTAATTTTGTTTTGTAAATTGTATTCAACCACAGTTTGCTCTAATGCCATTGACTTTAATCCAGAACAAGCGTTCTTCCAACATCATTTGTTTGTTGCAATATTAAAGAGAGCTAGTTTTTTTTGTAGCAGTAACTACTCACAGATACTAATTATTCCTTCTCTTGCCATTTCTTTAGGGGATGTATATCAAGTCAACATATGATGGGCTGCATGTAATCACTGGGACTACTGAAAATGTAAGATGCTTTATTCCAATGAGACCTGTTTATTACACCTACAGTTAGCAAGAGACATGTATACACGGTATATTTCATATTATGAAGATTTGTTTTAAATCAAGCCACTGTTTATTAATGCTTTAATTTTTTGAGTATCTTCATTATTATGTAAAAAAATATATACAGCAGATGCTGCTTAATAGCAATCCTGATATTAACAACTTCTAGTTAATAGCAATGTTTTGCTGGGTGCCAGTCCTGTCCCATTGACTTTAATGTTAGTAGGATTTGGATATTGGCAACAGGCATGCCACTTATTGACAGCTTCCCTGGCTGGAGCCCCACACACCTGTCTGCAGCTGGGAGGGGAGTCTTTGGCGAGGGGGCAGCAGCAGGAAGGAGACTGCAGCCCAGCTGCCAAGGCTTTCCATGGGGAGCAGGGGCACTGGGGGCCTGCAGGGTACCTCTCCTGGTGCTCTCCGGGTTGTGCCCTGTCCTGGCACCATCTCAGCGCTTCCTTCCTTGGCTGCAGCCCCACAAAGCCCCAATGTTGCGGAGCTGCAACCAGGGCAGGAAGCGCTAGGATGTGCTGAGCACTATCCGTAGACAGGTTTGGAGGGCTGCAGCCTGGGAAGGCACCTCAAATAATAGCAACTGTTTTCTGAGAACCAACAGGCTGCTAATAAGCAGAATCCACTGTATTTCTTCCATAAAAGAAGTACATCCATAGTATCTATTTACTGATTTTAAAACCATTAACATTAAAACAAAATCCCGCCCATTGGCCCCACCACACTTCCCTAATGAGCTTGTGTACACAATTTTCCACTAGCAAATGTTTGCTTTTATAGGCGATAATTTTTTCTCACATGATGTTCATTGTTGTCATTAATCTTATATAATTTCTGTCATGTCAAAATGTCAGTCTTCTAAATCATGACTAAAGAGATCTTCTGCCTGTTCTGGATCAATTTCTATGCATAATCAAGGGCAATTGCTATCCATTTTTAAAGACTTTGTTATCCCATGTGTTGACAGAAAATCATGTAGTAAATATAAGTCAGACTCGGTAATTTCTGATTCTGTATTTTATAGACTTTATCAAGCTTGGCTAGAAATGCCTCTTAGGTAATTTCTTAATATGTCCAAATACTATAACTGTCCAAGCACTGATCATCACACACCTGGATTACTGTAATCACCTCCTCTTGCCTTAATGTCTGCATTCTTCCCCCCTTCAAGTCCATTCAACAGGCTGTTAAAATCATTTTCTTAATCCATCATTCTGACTGTCATCCCATCTCTCTTTCACTACATCAAAAACAATTTTTTGTCCCAACTTACAAAGCCCTCCACAACTTAGCTCTCCCCTTCCTATCCTACCTTTTATATTATCATAAGATTGACTCCTGCCTTCAGTTCATTAATGGTGTCAGCCTCAATTATCCACTTCTCCAGTTCTCTTACAAGCACCTTCACATTTTCTCCCATGCTGCTCCTTACAAATGAGAAACTCCCAGTCAAAATCGATAAAGCTGGCACCTAAGCCTCCTTCAAGTCCCTCCTCTAAACCTGCTTCTTCCGTAGTGCATCAGGAATGGCTTGGCAGGTGGAGAGTTGTGATTGTTGCTGCTGATTGTCTGAGAATCATTGCACACATCCTGCTTTTTTAACCCTTTCTCTCCTGCTCCACAACCTGACCCACTGTTTGTCATCTCCACCTATTATGTGTTGTCCTTTGGATTGTAAACTCTTTGAGGCAGGGACTTTCCACATGCTTGTACAGCCCATAGCACAGTAGGGCCCTAACCAAAAACCTAGACGATATGGCATTAGAAAGGTTAAAATATTAATGATATATGAAACATATTCTACTTAGTAAACCTTCATTATATTCAGAGCATTAGCTAAAACAGAGTGGAGTGGATCACAAACTTTTCATATTAATATTTAGTACATTTCATACATTGTCCATTAGTTAATTTTCCCAGTGAATCTCTCCTGTGAGTGTTGTGTAAGTTGGCTATTTTTATATAGAGACTTCATGCTAAGAATTTGGCATGTGTCTTACTCTATATTTAGTAGTGATGTACTGTAGTCTAGTATTAATGTATATGTTTTATTATATCATAATTATTTCTACACTTAGTAGAGGTATACTGTAGACTAGGGTTGCCAACTCTGACTGAAGCTATTCTGGGAGATTTTTTCCCCAACATGACATAATGCAATTTTCTTAAAATATCCTATTAAAATCTCCTGGATTGCTTTCAATAGTTACCAGGAGATTGATGCCAATTCCGGGAGATTCCAAGCCAATCCTGGAGGATTGGCAACCCTATTGTAGACTGGTACTTTCCAGACTACTGAGAAAAGATAAATGAGTATCTCTCTCTTTCACAACTAAGATGAGGCACAAATATATCTTTTCCTGGTCTTTAAGAAGGCCAACTGTAATATGGAGCAGTCACAGGGTGACACTGGCCCTTTAAGAAGGAGCAGCACCAGAGTACCTGTGCCTAGTCAGCTGACCCCAATTAGGTTTAAAAGCGGGCATCTGGGCCATAGGAAGACCCAGTGAGAGAGAGAGACTGTCACCTGGTGAGTGAGAACTAGGAAGTTGCAGGGTATAGAAGCAGCAGGACTTCTAGAATTTTCTGGGAGGGCAGGCAGTGAGTGCCTGGGAGGTACTGCAGAAAGCAGGAGCAGCCTAAGAGGCAAGCCAGTGAGAACCTGAGAGGAACTGTTCATTAAATGGTATCCGGGGAGAAAAGCCTTGGGTGATGGTGCTCAGAGAACAGGGCACAGAAGCAGGCCCAACTGCCAGAGACCCTGGAAAGGGTAGGCAGTGAGAGCCTGAGAGATAAAAGGGGGGGGGGGAAGTCCCCTGGGGACTGTAGCCCAGGATGAGTTGAAAAACTGTTTTTGTTTGCTTTGCCTGTGTTTGAGAAATAAAACTCCCCAGAAGAAACTGTGGGCATGCCAGTGGATGCATTGCCAGCTGGGGAGAAGCCCTGCCTTTTTACAGGCAGTTTATTTGTGAATGTATAGTATTAGGTATGCTCTGATCCACCTAATACCTGTTTAGTTGTTGCCTCAGATGCAACAGGAAAGTTTTGCATGTACATTCAGTGTCCATGAATGATGCTGAAAAGTGCCACGCACCTTCAACTACCAGAATTGGGTAGAACAGACATTCATAACATTACAGAGTGAAAGATGAGTGCAGTTGCTGTTTGGCAGCTCTTAATATACTACACCGGTGCTATTTATGTACTAAAATTGCAATGCAATGGTGAATAATTTTAGTTAAATGTTCGTTTGCTTCCTTGTGTAATCAGAACGGATTGTAAAAATGTGCTAGAACTAGTCTTAGCCAAACTAATCTAATCTAAAGTTTAACCGGCTTTATTAACAATGGCAGAAAAATGACCATTGTAGACTTTTGGAGGAGTTATCAGGCAAATGTGTACACCTTTCACTCTGTCATGCTACATTTGTTAGGATTGACTCATAGAAACTGTATCTCAAACTCTTTACATAATTAGGTAATAAAAGAAATCTAATAATAAAAGTGTGTGTGTGGTGTAGATAATTGAAGCAAACAGACATGTGCCCAGAGGAAAATTTGACAGGCATAGGCAATAGTGGAAGATACATTTAAAGAAGAGATTTGAAAAGTGGTCAGTGATGCACAGATATAGAAGGAGGTCTGAAGTGGTAGGCACTGCTGAGGAGAAAACTATCACGCTAACAGTGGAGAGATTGTGGGAAAAGGCAAACTGAGACAGGGGCTATATGAGAAGGGAGAGTTGGAAAGGAATAGGAAAATAAAAATCTATGGGGAAAAAATAAATACAAGGCAAGGCAATTTTGAACTCAATACAAAAATAGATGGTTAGCTAGTACACTTGTTTGAAGGTGGAAGTGGGAATTCCCACTCTTTGGTATATGTGAGAAAGTGGCCTGCAGAATTCTATACATTCTGGAGTTTAAAGAGCTGAGGCCTGTGGAGGGCACTGAGGAGCATGTTACATTATCAAGAAGAAAGGAAATGAAGGCATGAACTGGGATTGCAGCAGGGAGGGAATCAGGTCAGTTGTGTACCCAGGCAATGTTGTGAAAGTATTGAGGCATATTTACAGATAGAGGAGAAAGTTCAAGGTAAAGTAGAATACTAAACTGGTTGATGTTTAGATTAGGGTTGGTAAAGCATAAAAAGGGTGAGACTTGGTGTATGTGTCTGTGTAGGAGAGAGGTAGAGAGAGTAGATGGCATTTGTTTTGCTCCTTTTTCCTGAGAGAAGTATTTCTGTTTTTGAGATGAAGCCATAGTTTCTTTGCCATAGACAAGCAGAAAAGGTGTATAAGAATGAATTATTTAAGGCATTTAAATATATGTAAGTTGAAAGCTATCCATGTACTCAAGGTAGTTAAAGTTTGAAGATCATGATAAGATGACTTAGGGAGAAGGTAGACTGAGAAGTGCAGTCGTGTGAAAACTGAAATTTATGGGACTCTAAAAATCTTTATACAGTTTATGGAGTCACCACTGAAGACTGATAAAGAGTGTATGAAAGGAATGGAACTATTCAGGAGGGATGCAGAAGATGTTATAACAAAGTAGGATGATTCTGAATTGAATGATGGAAATGAATTCCTCACATTTGCCATGGGAAAGGCTGTGATAAGATGGCAATTGTATTGGTGGAGAAAATTGTTGTTTAATTGCTTACAGAAAGTTCCAAGGAAATTTTATCTGCAGTAAGCTGTGTGTAGTTCCTTTATGAAGTGAACCATTCCTGATAAAATTGGATTAGGTGAGGTGAAGCAAATATTGAAGTTATGCCTTACTAGTGCTCAGACTGGAAAAATAAAAATGCTGCTAATAATTAGCTGAAGACAGTAGGGCAAAGGCCAGAGTGGCATGCTGTCCCATACCAGTAATTCTACCCAGCATTGGTTAATTTTTAATGTGACATTAAGTAATGGATTGTCAGAGAAATCCACAAGAGCAAA